GAACCGGGCCGCGGGAGCATGTGGACCCGGAGCGGAGCTCGGGACGCGCTGCTGCTGGCACTGCTGCTCTGCTGGGACCCGAGGCTGAGCCAAGCAGGTAGGAAGCGATCGGGCCTGGGGGCACGGGGCTAGGGGACCCTTGTGCCTCACTCTACCCTGAAGTTGAGGTGGTCTTTCGTCGCATCGATGCGCGCAGGGAAAGCGGCAAGGGCGCCCAAGTTAGAACGTAGATTTTACTGCCTCCCAAAGTGGGCAATGGCGCATCCACATAGCGGGAGGGGGGCGCAGGGAAGGGGGTTCACAGTAAACTGAAAGCTCCCTGCTCGCTCCTGAAAGGGATCCCTTCTTCTCCCTGGAAGGGGTGTCGGAGTCAGGGTCTGAGTCTCCGGGAGGATCCGCCTCTTGGGGACCCCCGGCTCTCCGCGCGCCTGGCGTCCGCCCCGAAAAAAATCTGTGGCTACATAAGCAAGGTGTGCGCTCGCTGCCTTATGCCAGTAACTTACTAGTCTGGTCCCGGCTCGCCTAGGCTCTTACACGCTATAGGGACACGAATCCGCAGACCAGAGGGAGAGAGCGAAAGACCTGCTGAACACGGGAAGGGCTCCGGCAGCCGGGGGAGATTGGCTTGCAGGGCTCCTGACGCGGGGAGGGCTAAGTCCTGCACACATAGCTTTCCCCGAGATCGCTGGGCCCGGAGGTCTGGATTTTTTTTTTTTTTTTCTGAATGTTGGTGTGTGTGTGTGTGTGTGTGTGTGTGTGTGTGTGTGTGTGTGTTGGATGCGGGCGGGGGCTCCTAGGGATCCTGCGGAGTTTCCTTTTAAATGGGTCACTGACATTCTCGCTGTCCAGGGAACAGACTAGGTGCGCTCTCCTTGGTACAGCGCCCGCTCTGGACCCACAAAGATGACTTCAGCGGACTGGTGGGCTCCTGAAATAAAGTCCCTAATCCGCCTCTCTCGCCGTGGATGAATACGTTTCTCGCTCGTCCTGTAACTGGACCCGGCGTCGCTGGCTGGGCTGCGTTTTCCCGGGGAGGCTGTGGACTGACTGGAGCCAGCCTCTCTCTGGTACCTGAACCCAAGCAAGTGGGCTAGCCACGGACGCCGGGCGCCTCGGCTCCGGAGCCGGGTGGGGACGGGGACTCCTGCACGGAGTCCTCTCTGAGTTGAGGCTGAGAATGGAGCAGGAAAACTGGAGCAGAAAGTGGACGAGATGACGCAGCCCTCCCCACCTCCTACCTCCTGCTGCGATGTTGACATCCGCCCTTCCCCCCTCCATAGCCAAAGATTCCTCATTCTGGAATTAGTGATTCCCACGGCCAGGAGTGAGAGCTTGGCTTTAGCACATTCCCCACTTTTTTTTTTTTTTTTTTTTTTCCTGGTGCAAGTCCTGTGCAGTAGAGTTACAACACTCAACCATTTGATCCAACTTAATTATGATTTGGGCAGACTCTGGTATTTAAAGCAGTGTTTTGAAGTTGGAAGGTAATGATGGGGATGGGGGAAGGCAGGCTGCTGAATGTCCAACCTTGTTTTAAAGGGTGCAGTTAGACGTGGGAGGTGCTTGGTTGGGGTGTTGGTTTCTGGTTGGAGGGGGGTTGAGCAGATGATTGAAGGGTAGGGTGAAGTCTCTGTAAATGGCACATGGGCAGGGTTGTGTCTTGGGAAGCTGCTTTTGTACCAGCAGGACAGTGGGATCGGGAATAAATACTTTAGGTTACCAGGAATGAGAGGCTGCAGTAGGAGAAAGACAAGACTGGTTGGCCTATAGTTCTCCGGGTGGGTGGGCTTGGCCAGGAAGGCTGGGGGTGGCCTGCATTTCCTGCTTAACAAAGCATCCAGCCCCCACCTTCCCCAGAAGAAACCCCAGGCCCAGGGCTTTGATGGATTTGGGCACGAATGGTGCCCAGTCAGAAATGGCCTCTAATACCCGGCTTTGATTTCTCACCAGCGAGCAGAAGTGGTGTTGGAATTGTGCTCATTACTTAGCGCGGCAGGAGCTGCCTGCCCACCAGCCTGGAGAGGGGCCAACTGGTGGGGTCTGCCTGCAGCCTTCTCATTGCCCAGAATGTGTGGCCCTTAGAAACCTGCCTTCAGGAGGGAGAACATGTCCCTTCCTCCCACACAATCTTTTTTCTCTAATGCCACAGGCACAAAGCATCATTCTTTCAGAATGTTCTTTGGGTTTTTCCAGTGGATCTTTCACAAGCCCCATTTCACTGATGGGGAAAATCAAGGCCAGAGTGTTGGCTTTCTCCAAATCTTGCCTTCACTTGGCCACAGATTGAAGACTTGTGTGAAGGGCTCTTGTCCAATAGCCAGGCTGATTCAAGCCCAGCAGACCCTCCCTCCCATTCTTATCCACCCACCCCTCTGCCATGAGCCTCGTAACAAACTGAGGCAGGTGAGGCTCTCCCTGCAGAGATGGATCTTTACTAGGGGTGTCCAAGCTCCCCTCAAGTGGCAGGCACCTCTCTCTCCTTTTCCCCACCCCGACCCCATCCCTGGTGAATATGGGATTGAGCTCCCTTTACAGCACTGAGAATTTTTTTAAGCTGTAAAGTCTGATGGTGGAGAAATCAAAACTGGAACCATAAAACCCCAGACCCTTAGAAGGTGATTCAGCAAGTGACTAGCCAGAAAAAAGGCCACTTCAAAAGCTCTGGTTGGCCCTGGAAATCTCCTCCCACCCCACCTTTCAGTCCTTCCTGGAGCTTTTAATGAGCCTTTCCATGGCCTCTGGCTGGGATGGTTGAGAAGGAGTTGAGGTGTCAAGATAATACATCTTTTTAAGGTGCAATTAAAATCAGAGTTTTTGTAGTGTCTCTGCTTGGTGTGTGTGTGTGCATGTGTGTGCTCGCGTGCACGCACTTGAGCACACACAATGGTAGCCTGTCCTCGTCTCCCTCTGCACTCACTGTAGCAAACACCCATCTCACTTAAACAAATGGAAAATCAAGTGTCTTAATGGGTTTTCTCATTAAAGTGAAAGTACCACTGCAGGGGAGCAATTTCTCCTGTAATCTCTCTCCTCCACCTCTCTCCCCTCCCCTGCAAACAGGGAATTCTGTAGGATAAAACAGTTCCCCTCTTTTCCAATCCACTTATTTAACTGTTGACACTTTGGTACAGGCCAACTTGCCCAAGGTCACATTGGGACTCACCGGTAGCACCAGGACTTGAACTGAGGCCTCACAACCTCAGTCTAGTGCTTCTAGCTCCTTCATCCCACCTGGACTGGAGACCCACCATCATGGGTGTGGGCTTGAGACTCTGAAATTGAGGCACCACTTAAGGCAGGCAGCTAAAGATAATATTGCTTCGATGGCTGCTTTAGACTGGAACTCATGGCAGGATGGAGGAAAGAGGTTGAGAGTTGGGAGGGTGGAGAGGTGTTCCAGGAGAGGGGAACAGGGCAGAGCCGAAGGTCTGCCACCAGGCAAGTGCCCAGAGGTGGCTGTCCCGACCCCCAGCATTGGCCTCCTGAGCAACTGCCCTGACCTGGGGAAGGGAGACAGGTCCCAAGTCAAGCTCCCTTGGGCTGCATGGCCGAATAAACATTAGCATTTTAGAGCTCTGCACCTATTTGTAGAGTTGGGGACAGAATATGTTTTTACCTTTTACTTATATTCAAAGCTTTGGGAGCCAGTGTCCTGTCCTCCCCCACCTCTCTTTGTTGTTGAGTTTCTCCTGGACCAAAGGTCTTGTGACCCTTTTCCTGGGTGTCAGGCTTAAGATGAGGCCTGCCTCCTACTCCTGATTCCCTGAGCCACGGAGGTTTTCTAAGGAGGTTTGCCGACTGCCTAAGACTTTGGGGATGGGCTGAGGGGAGGTGGATCCTTTCCATTCCAAGAGCTCTCAGACAAGGTAAGTAATTCTGAATAGACAGTGCTGGGAACCTCCCTCCCCCAGGGCCCACAGGCAGCAGGTCTTTTGACCCTCAGAGTTGGGGTTAGGTGGAAAGCAGACAGCTTGGAGGCTACTGCCGCCTTCAGGAAAGGGCAGAGGGGGCTGGGTCATAGGCTGGGACTTGGGGGTGGGAGCCTGGGCCCATGGAAA